CCTTCATATACCGCAACCAGGCCACCAACGAGCAAGAAGGATTTGCTGACGGCTTCGTGAAAGCGCTCGCCGACCTTCACAAGCAGAACCAGCTCGTAGGAGGCGGCCACGTGTCCCCGTCCTCACCCTCCAGCATCTCCCTGCAAGCGTCCTATCAGAGGAACCTGGTGTCTGGAGGAGACATGCCGATCTACACCAATCTCAGCAGCTACAATCCGAGCCACATGCCGTATCCTGGGGGGCAGATAGCATACGTTTGTAGCGCTGGCCAAGGCGGCGGTGGAGCCCCTCAACCCCAAATCCGAAGCGTGGACACCCCTCAGATCGTCCCCGAGGCGCCTCACCTGCCGGGTGACTCCATGTCTCCACCCTCCCTCGCCCCGATCGACCTTGAGACGCATGAGCAGATCAAAGCAGAACGCAAGAAGCTCCGCAACCGCATCGCAGCATCCAAGTGCCGCAAGCGAAAGCTGGAGCGTATTTCGCGGCTGGAGGAGAAAGTGAAGGTTCTGAAGAACCAGAACTCGGACTTGGCCTCCACCGCGGCCATGCTGCGGCAGCAGGTCAAGCAGCTCAAACTGAAGGTCATGAGTCACGTCACAAATGGCTGCCAGATAGCTGTTGCTTTGGCCGCTGCCAAGTCAGGGGAAGGACGCCCCGGCAGCGAGGACCGCTGAGGAGCAGGAGCCCAGGAGAACATGTAGAACTTACGTTAAGAGGGTTTACTTGGAGCAGTTTGCCACATTGTTGCACTCCCGGTCAGAGTGAGCGGGGAGCAGATCAGGACAAATGAGTGTTTGGAGGGATTTATGTGGTCACACAAACAAGAGTCAATCCTACAGCCGGAGGAGTTTACAATACAGAAAGTTCAAGTTAGGACAATTTGAGTCTGGACAGCAGTTTATTAGAAGAAAATCTGGCAAATGTGGCTTGAAGAGAATCTAAATTTGAAAAGATACAACACATTTTTTGACAGATTAATTGACTTTGCAGAAATTTTCACCAAGAATATTTCCTATTAATATTAAAATACTGTGTTAGTAAATTACCTGTTTAAACTCTCTTTGTACCGCGTGTAGTTGTAACAAAAGTAACAAAGATAGGAGACAAGAAGTTTTCTAATCGCTCAAAGCAAAAACTAGCGATTCCATTACCTTCTGTTACAGAGTGATGCTCAAAATGACTGATGATGAAGTTTGAATTTTTAACAAAAAAAATTTGTTTTGTAATCTGATCGCTGTAAACTTATTACCTTTTCTTTTACTACAAGTCCACTATGTGATTTAACAAAGCTAAAGGACCATTACATAACAAATGAAAACCTTTTTACATGTCTGTTGCTGAAGTTCAGCCGTGGTTGGTAAACATGAGAGTTTCTTAGCTTTCCTTTTATCTGAATATACTTTTAACAGTTAGAAGTGCCATTGTTTCCCCTCTTTTATCTGGCTGTTGGGTCGTGAAAGCTTGTCTTACTTTGTCTCAATCTTTCAGGAAATGAACATCTGAAGACGTCCAAGTCCTCTGTGAAATAAAATATATTTTTTAAATAGAACTCATGAACTGGGCTTTTGGTATGATCTTTAACTCAGCAGCAGATTTATTAGTTAACCGCTATCTTCAATGATTGCTGATATGTTCTACTTTAGCAGAAGTACCACTGAACAAAAATGTCAAGTGTTTCATATCTATATTCTAGCTTCATAGCAGTATTGTGCAAATAAGATGACCATTTGACCGTATCGATCATTTTGACAAAGATTTTGCAGCAAAAAAGCCGCCAAGGAGCAGTGAGCAAGCTGCTGGCTTTAGGAGGGAGAATGGTTCATACCACAATAGTGCTTCCTGGGCAATTATTCAGCGAGGAGCTTCCTGAGGTCCTTGAGGGGACTTTCCAGGTTATATGTTGCTTGAGGAGGAAATAACGTGGCATTAGGGGGGTCTCTGAGGTGATCGAGGTCCTGGAAGAGGTTAAGGAAGGTTAAAGGAGGTTAAGGAAGGTTAAGGGAGGTTAAGGAAGGTTAAGGGAGGCCTTTAGGTGGCTGTAGAGCTTCTTGAGAGGGTTATAGAGATAACTGAGTGACTTGACAGAGAACCTAGACTGAAGCATCAATACTGTTGCCATGGTTACTTGTAGTTAAGTATACCTTAAACTCGGATTTAGAAAACTGGTTGAACTGTTGACCCGAATATTATTTGATATGTTCACATGGAGATTTTAACAGACACTTTGCAGCCAATGGACAAGCAGGATATTAAATACTCCATAGTGAGAGTTATTTTTTTATTTTAAGTTATGTTTGTGTACACCTTGTATTAATATGGTTAAAACCTGGAGATTGGGTCAATAATATCTTAGTTCAATGGAAAATCCACATTTGACAACATGAGGTAAACATGTTTGTTTCAGCGGTGAGTTGTCCAGTCAGCTGCTTGCTGAAGTTCGGGGGGTATTTCCTGTGAGAAGCCAGGTCATTTCGACAGGTCTTAAACCTTGAATATTTTGAATATTTTGAGTGAACCTCTGAATATTCGTTTCTGCCCATTCATACATTACATTACATGTCATTTAGCTGACACTTTTATCCAAAGCAACTTACAATAAGTGCATTCAACCATAAGGATACAAACTCAGTAAGCAAGAGCAAGAAACAAGAAAGTGCAATTTCATCAAATAGTCATTCGATCAGAAACAGACTTGATGAGGGCGCCTCATTGCAGCACGTCCTGTAATGCATCAGTCTGACTGCTATTGGGTATCGGAGTGAAATCCTTGACCCGTTGTCAGACCCTCTGCTGGTGCAGTAGGTCCTGGGTTCCTTCTGGAGCACCACGATGCCCCATGTGGCGACAGTATGCAGGCAGTACCTGGAGGATGGAGGAATTAATTCAGTTCAATGGCCGTCACGGTCACCTGACCTAAATCCGATCGACCAGGAAGTGGAACTCAGCAACCAGGTAACTTTCATTGTTGGACTGTGGCCATCACACATACAAACGTGTATATATATACAATTAATATAATATATAATAATTGTATTATATAATACAATTATACCCCTCAGCAGTTCTCTGCAGCTTCAAGTGTCTTTAACTCAATGTCTTTTTTATAGGCCCACGAGAGTATTGTCTTTTTTTTGGATTACATTAAGCAGCAGGCAACTGGTTACAGCAAGAAATAAATAAAAACTCTGTGAAATCCAATGTACAATCTGCCCAGCACCGTATCAGATAACATAAATATCAGTGTCCACACTCACAGACTCACAGTTATTAAAGAGCGTTCATGCTAAGGACATGAGAGTGTGGAACCGACGTAGATGTACAGAAACAAATGGACAAAGTAAAACAGAGGTAAGCATTAAGCTCTAACTAGGGAATATTAAAGAATATAATTGATTATTATGCCTTATTTATCTGGAGTAAAGGAAAATATTTAGAACATTTTATTTAGTGAAGTTGATTTAGAGCAGGGGTCGGGAACCTATGGCTCGCGAGCCAGATGTGGCTCTTTTGATGATTGCATATGGCTCGCAGATGAAACAAAATATTCTCACTTGTTTTAATCCATCCATCGATTTTTCACTGCGCATGTCCTGTTCAGGGCTGCAGGAGCAATTGTCCATTATTTTAATTGGATGATACTGGCCTACGTTTGCCGTTGCTGGGTAAAACAGGTAAACGCCCCTTTTGGATCAGTTTGAGACTGCGTCTGCTCGGTCATTAGCTCAAAGCTAACCCTTCGACGAAGGGTTAGGACCTATAGGAAAAAATAATCTCAAAACCACTGCCATGTAGAATGAGGCTCGGGCCGCATATGTCTGTTCCGACCCGAGTTGAGCCTGATGCTGCATGATTATTATGCACATGAGCTTTGGATCACGCGTTGTCATGAAGGTTAATTACAAACCCCAGCAGCACCGAAGAAAAAGTTTCCCAACGCAGTTGAAAGTCAGCTTGGCATGTTGGCACCTCACACTGTTTTGTTGCGGCGATGCCGCAATATTCATTCGCCAAAATTCGAACACTTGGAACGCGCTTCCTGTCACATACCACACACTGCAGCGTGTGAGTATTGCTGTATTGACCATGTTTGGATCTACGTATGCATGTGAGCAGTCATTCTCACATCTTAAAAACATCAAGTCCAACCTACGATCCCGTTTAACGGATGAAAGCCTCAACGCTTGCATGAAGCTTAACCTCACCAAGCACCAACCCGACTACAAAGACATCAGCAAATCCATGCAGCACCAGAAGTCGCATTAATGGTGAGTGTTATAGCAACATTATTTAAAAGAATAAATTCAGAGGCTTATTATACTGACATTTAGTTGAATTCACTTTTAAAATATTTTATATGGCTCTCACTGAAATAAATTTCCACATTTTTTGCTTTCATGGCTCTCTTAGTCAAAAAGGTTCCCGACCCCTGATTTAGAGCAAATCTAAAAGAGTAACAAATGATTCAACCCAATTATCAGCTGAGTTTTCCATTTGGTGACAACAAACTAGGAAGGACGAAGTGCTCTTTTGGTTGTTACCGTTTGGTAGAAAACATTATGTTATGTTTTTTCCATATTCTGCACCAGATGGAGTGACCCACTCATAGAGAGTGAGAAACTCTGTGCCATTCCTGGTGACTAATACCAGCTCCCCCACAGCGCAACACACACTCAGAGCTGCATTAGTTGTGTCCCTGTGTTTCTGTTTGTTAAAAATAAAGATATCAGTAAATAAATGCGGGTTGATGACGCAGGTCAGCACATGTTGTTGAAGTACATGTTTTCAACTAGAACATTTTCGGTCAAATGCACACTGCTGCTCCATACCCCTTTCAAGTGAAGGGACTTATTAAACTAAAACCTTTTCCAATTCAATAATTTACTGTGTTAAAATACTTACTTACTCAACTTATAAATTAGTCTTATAATAGGATTGAATTTTGAATTCATTTTGACCGTATTATTCTGTTTGACATCATGTAGACTTACTTCTGACTCAGTGGAGTTACTGGACATTTGGTTAAAGGTGCACTCACCCTTACGCATGCAGTGAAGCACCTTGGGAGAGGAAACCGACCGACGCGCTTATGCGTCTCCGCCAACGTGGTTCTCGCACACCGCTGCCGGGCATCTCCCTTTCCAACGTGCGCTCACCGTGCAACAAACTGGAGAACTGATCAGAATGGTTTTGGAAGAGGTAAGTAAAGGGAGGGGGGCTTCTAACCTTCGGATGAATCGGCGGAAGAAGTCGGCAAACCCAAGGAATTGTTAAAGCTGTTGAAGCTGTTTCCGTGAGGAGGGGGTCGGCCGTTTGGTAAATGCCTTAATCTTCAATGCGGGGGCATTGGCGAGTCCAAAGGCTCTGATCCGCCGTAGGGAAGTTTCCGGAATACGCATGTTTCTCCATAACAGTCACCTGAACACATGGTGTAACACCCAGACTGGGGCATTAGGTCACATGTTGTTTTCTGTTGTGTTTCTCACCTTTCCCTCTCGTTTCAGACACCTCCTCCCTGTGTGCCAACGCCCTCTGTGACTGCAAGCCCCACCCTTATTGTTTCCACCTGTGTCTCGTTCTCCTGTGTATTTACTTTGTGCCAACAGCTTGTTCTGTGCCAGTTTGTCTCTTTGTTCCCAATGAGCTTACCCACGATTCTCCTGAGTGTGCCTTCCTGTGTTTTGACCCTTTTCCGTCCCTCCATCAACCTTTGCCTGCTGATTTGGATTGATCCACCTTCTCTGACTACCCGTGTACCGAACCCAAGCCTGAAGTAAAGACGATTTTTGGCCTCTGACTACTACGCCTTGAGTCTGCTTTGGAGTCTAAACCCTTGTGGCCCCAGCGGCGTAACAGTACAAACTGGCCAACATGGACTCCGCGGACTCCCTTCGTCACACTGTCGCCTCACAGGGTGTTCTCACACCAACTTCTCCGGGACATGGAGTCTCTCCAGTCTTTCTACGGAGGTGAACCAGCTTGGACAGCAGCTCCGTCAAGTCGGCCCGCAGCCACCTCCCCCAGCTCCAGAGGCGCCTACCCCTCTGCAACCTGCCCAACCCACCGTTGGCTCCCAGCAGCCAAATGTGCCGGCGCCGGAGCGCTACAATGGAGACCTGGGTACATGCAAGTCTTTTTTGATGCAATGCTCCTTAATTTTCGACCTACAGCCTTCTAGATATGTGACCGATAGAGCTAAGGTTGCCTTCATGATGGGCTCCATGACTGGGAGGGCGTTGACCTGGGCTACCAGCGTATGGGAGAGCCAGTCTCCTGTCCTCTCCTCGTATCAGTGCTTCTCAGCTGAGATGCGTAGAGTTTTTGATCACCCAGTTAGAGGCAAAGACGTTGCTTCACGCCTACTTTCTCTAAGACAGGGTTCCCGCAGCTTAGGAGAATTTGCAATCGACTTCAGAACCATAGCGCAAGGGTCAGGGTGGTCCGATGCGTCACTCCAGGAGTTTTTTCTTAGCGGACTTAACAACCCAGTAAGGGAGGAGCTAGCATTGAGGGATGACTCGCAGAGCCTTGAGGCCTTAACCGCCCTTGCGGTGAGGTTA